ATTTACCGAGAGATGATCAGCAGAGAGCTTTCACCAAATTGGGTGACCTATGCGTCTCTTTTAAGGGCCTATGGTAGAGCTCGCTACAGTGATGATGCTCTTAATGTTTATAAAGTGATGAAGGAGAAGGGGCTAGAGTTAAATGTAATTCTTTATAACACCCTTTTAGCTATGTGTGCTGATGTTGGTAACACTGACGAAGCCGTTGACATTTTTGAAGAAATGAAGAGTTCTGAAACCTTGAAGCCCGACAGTTGGACCTTTTCATCCATGATCACCATATATTCCTGTAGCGGGAAAGTCACAGAGGCAGAAGCAACATTGAATGAGATGTTGGAGGCTGGTTTTGAACCTAATATCTTTATTTTGACATCACTCATCCAATGCTACGGGAAGGCAAAACGCACTGATGACGTTGTTAGGATATTCAATCAACTCCTAGATTTGGGTATAACACCAGATGAGCGTTTCTGTGGTTGTCTCCTGAATGTGATGACTCAAACACCAAAGGAAGAACTTTGCAAGCTTGCCAATTGCATTGAGAGGGCTGATGAAAAACTAGGGTATGTGGTAAGACTTTTGGTGGAGAAGCAAGACAGTAGTGAAAACTTCAAGAATGAAGCATCAGAACTTTTCAACTCAATCGGTTCGGATGTAAAGAAGGCTTATTGCAATTGCCTGATTGATCTTTGTGTGAACCTCGATCTATTGGAGAGAGCCTGTGAGCTATTAGACTTGGGGATTACACTTCAGATATACATAGGTTTACAGTCAAGGTCTCAAACCCAGTGGTCTCTGTATCTCAAAGGTCTGTCTCTTGGGGCCGCTCTGACTGCATTACATGTTTGGATCAATGACCTATCTCGGGTATTGGACTCTGCTGAGGAGCTTCCACCGTTGCTTGGAATCAATACTGGACATGGGAAACATAAGTATTCAGACAAGGGTCTGGCAAGTGTATTTGAGTCCCATTTGAAGGAATTAAATGCTCCATTCCATGAGGCCCCGGACAAGGCTGGCTGGTTTTTGACGACAAAGGTTGCAATCAAGTCATGGTTGGAGTCTAGGAGTTCATCCGAGTTAGTTACTGCTTAGATGTCGGCTGTTTAGTTTACTGACAAAGCTCATCACACTGAAATGTAACGTCAAAAACTGGTATGTGCTGCTTCTCAGTTTTCTATTTATATGCTTCTGAAGTTTTCGCTATTGGCGTAGAGAACAGTTTTGTACCATTAGAATTCAACTATGAAATCTACTTTCACTAGTCTTATAGAGTTAATGAAGTTCTTAGAATTCTTGCATCTTACTCAGTACTAATGTACCTATATATGTGCTGTGATTTGAGTGATGGTATCAATTAGATCCAGTTAAAGCATTGCTAAATGAATTCTAAGAAATCAAATAAGTGAAAAAAGTCCGTTTCCTTTTGCATGTTACGGAAGTTCTGAAAATTCCTTTTGATCAAAGCCATTCTGGAGGTATTGTGACATGAGAATGGCAAGGGGTACAAAACAAGTGCATTGTTCTAACTTGTGTTACCATCCAACGTCTATGAAGGGGCAATTGGCAATTTGGCATTGTCGCAGACTGAAGTGACCTTAGGTGCTTACTTTATGAGGCTTATTTCCGCTAGTATGGTTCTCTAGGTACATGGCATGTTATTTGCTTGCGATAGGATCAATTAGAAAGTTGATCTTTTGCATCTCTTTTGGTTGAATTCGAGAGCCGAATCTAGTTTGTGGCTAGTTGACCCAGGCTTCCTATGTGATTCGATTCGAGGCCTCATTTACATGTATTTAATAAAGACATAAAACATCTAGTTAAGTTCAATATTTTTTGCCTTTATAGGAAAACGGAAAGAAGTTCAATATTTTTTGGAGGTGACATTCGATACTTTATACTGTTGAGGCTGTGGTGCAATGAAGAATCTCACAGACCATTGACTTCAAGGTATTTAGATTATAAAACATAACTAAAGTAGCGGTGTCTTGGCTTGCACGTCAAACTTCCTCACACATGAAATGATCAAAGCCACACAACACTAAAAGTTCGATGAGAGTCCGAATTCCTAATTTCATCACTTGTATTTCTCTGTGCGAAGTTTATACCAGACAATGAGAAATTGCATAAATATTAAATGTTATGTTCCATCTGCCCCAAGACCAAGAGACGATTACATTTGGCTTTCACACTGGCTGCAAGCGGGTAACAACGCCCGACCGTATATGCCATTGGCACCCGACACTACGCTAGAACCCGGTGAGGTTTACAATCTCGTGCCAGACCTTGCAGGTCTCCTTGGAAACCCCTTGGTTCCTTCAAAAATAGTCCGCCAAGAAGGATGCAAAAGAAAGAAGATTAAGATCGTGGTGACCAGGGAACAGTTGGAGTTGTTGAAGAGTGCGACCAAGCTCCGGTCGAGAGAAGATGGTGTTCGATTGTCAGGGAGGTTTCGGCTGGAGCCTCCAAAATGGCAGCCTTCTTTGGCCATCGTTCTTTTGAATGATGGGATTTTGGATTTCTATCTCTCCCTCCAGCGTCATTTGTACATTTTTAAGAATAGTAGAACAGATTACTCGGTACTATATATAATGGGTATTCATAGACTTGAAAGTTCCATCAATCTTAAAATTCAACATCCTTGTATAATTACTAGTGAATAAGAGGACTATATGTGTAAAATAAAATAATACAAAATAAATGAGAAAGCGGTTGGTTTCATTCAATTTAGGGTAAAGTTTAAAACTAAAAATGAAATTATTATCAAACGGCCCTTGAAAACTAAAAACGAATAGCCCCTTAATTGAACTTATCCATTTTGTGTCATTTCTCTATTTATTAAGGAGTTTTCAAATTTTGGATTTTGGGTTTTGGCTTTCGTTTTCTTTCTTTTTTATTTATTTTTAAACGGAATGTAGTTGCTGAAACCTCAAATTGAAATAGTTATCGAAGGCCACTGAACTTTGGAGTGGTAACTTGGAAGTGAAATCTAGCCATGGATTTGTCGATCGCCTATTCTATTGACGAAGGTACATGAAAATCACCTTTTGTTTTTGTATTTTTATAAATTTAGCTTCAATATCATTGGTAAGGATGGAAGCTGTTGTATAAATGTTTCGTATGATTATAAATTTAGCTTTAATAAATATAATTAAACATCGAACTCGTCATTTATAAAAATAAAATTTAATGTTGAGCTTGGCACATATGAAAAGAAAAGAAAGCCACTAAAAAAACAAAAAATCAAAGCGTTAAAGATGATAATAATAATAATAATAATAATAATGGTAAGCAATTAAAATTAACTAAAATAACTAATTCTTCAATCATTTTTCTCTGTTTGTTACACATTGTTTCCCCCAACACATGGCTTGTAATAAAATTGCTGGAAATAATATTTGGAAAATGATTAGTTGCAAAGGCTTGGTTATTTATGTCTATAAATTATTCTTTGCTTTATATGATCCAAGAGACATAAAAAAACAATTTGATGTGATGGTCATGAAAAAACAATTTGATCTGATGGTCATAAATAAATAAGAATGTGCACAAAAGTTTTCGATATGATGGTCATAAATAAACAAGGATGTGCATAAAGGGAGAAAAGGGTGTGTAAAGATGAGCACAAAAGAAAGGAAATGGTTTGTACGACTAGGGTCCAAGAAGCTCAAGGAGGAGGAGGCAGTGCTCCATGAAGCTTTAAAGGTTGTGCATTTCTTTCCTTCACTCTACGTTACATTGTCGTCTTTTCATTCTTTGGATCGGTATGTGCTCTGTATCTTGAGGCGGAATTTGCTCATTATCGTTATGGTTTTGCTGTCTGAAGATTAAATGTTTAAAAATTGTATGTTGTTGTCGTTAAAAAATAATTTTCTTTTCTCTTGCTGGAAAGTTGATGCTTGAGTTGTTTGAGCAAGAGGAGGAGAAGAAGAAGTAGCTAGAACTAGAAGACGATGAGGAAAGTGTGAAACTTTGAAAGAAGCATTTTTTAATATTTTGGGTTTGACGCTCTAACTTTGACAACATCGTAGAGTTTTTTGAATTAAAAGAAGCATTTTAAGTTGTCATAAACAAACTGCCTGCCAAATGAAGTGAGGGGAAGAAGTGAAACCGGGATTCCCGTCTAAAAATTACTTGCTTCGGGTGCTATTTTCCATTCTTAAAATGACACTCAAAACTTAAAATGACCTTGGAAGAATTGCATGATGAAATTTGTGGTTTGTAGAGTGATTTCCACTATATAAAATGAGAATTACATTGTACATAAGGGCTTGTTTTTAGAGAGGTTATGGTTTGACATCCTCCTAAAGTGAAGGTGAAAGATCATTTTTATAAAAAAATAAGGGTTTCCTTCCCCTTTTATAGATGTCATAGGCTAAGTAATGAGGCCCAAATATTGAGGCTTTATATACGGTACAACATGAGTCCCCCATGTCTTCAGTCTAGAGAATCTTTTGGCTGGAGAAGTGACTAGATGTTGTCGAGAGTCAATCATTGGCATGAGGCTGGTAATGATGAATGTGTGATAATTGATGATGATTTGGAAGGAGATGCCGATGATGAAACAGATGAAAATAAATCAATAATGTCGATGATGCTTACCATCAATATCCACCATCCCAATCAGTATGACATTATATATATTGTGCAACAAGGTTTGGATGAGGAAATTGATATGATGTTGGAAGAATTGTAGGATGAAATTGGTTGGTTTCTTATCTTTGAACTTCTATGTATAATTGTAGCCGACCCTACACTTAACCCTAGATTGGTATATGTCATCCTATTTCATGCACAAAAACTAGTGGGTCCTAGGTTATAAACCATTGGGATATTACATAGTGTGAAGATGCAAATGAAGGTGTGATAATCAATTATGATTACTTCAAGGATTACATGCATCAATTCCTATGACTTTGATCTTTTACATTGTAACCCTAAGTGTTGTGGCTGCTGCTGAGGTTCAGCTGGTCTTGCTGCGTTGAGCCTGATAATGTTGAAGGTGTGATAATCGATGATGACAATGATGGTGATGATTTAGAAAGAGATGTCGATGATGAAGTGGGGGAAATGAGGCAATAATGTCGATGATGATGACAATGGGGGACGAGTGGGAGTACTCGTTCGAATCGTTGGTTATGTTCTAAATGATTTTGTCACTTGTATTGGTGTTGAGCAAATCCTCAATAATTTCGCCCTAGATGAGCGAGTGCGAGAAGAGTTGGTGTGCCACCTGCTTACCAACAATATCCACCCTCCATTTGGCTACGTAAAGCCTGACGATGATGAAGGCTTGATAATCAATGATGATAATTTGGAAGAAGATGATGGTGAAATGGAGGAAGATGCAATAATGTCGCCGATGATGACAATGGGGGAGGAGTAGGCACGGTTTGAATGGTTTTGTCACTCATATTGATGTTGAGCAAATCCTCAATAATGTTGCACTAGATGAGTTAGTGCACCACTTGCTTACAAACAATATCCACCTTACCTATCAGTATAACACTATATATGTTGTGCAACAAGGTTTGGATGAGAAAATTGATATGACCTTAGAAGAATTGCAGGATGAAATTTGTTGGTTTCTAGAGCCAATTTCAACTATATAAAATGAGAGTTACATTGTACATAAAGGCTTGTTTCTAGAGAGGGTATGGTTTGACATTGTCTTAAAGTGAAGGTGAAAAATCCTTTTTATAAAAACAAGGGTTTCCTTCGTTGTCATCATCAGCTATAAAATGGGAAGGAAACCTTGTTTTTATAAAAAGGATATTTCGGGATGTCAAACCCTAACATCTCTAGTAACAAGCCTCTACGTAAAATGTAACTCTTATTTTATATGATGAAAATCGACTCTACAAACCAACAAGTTTCATCCTGCAATTCTTCCAAGGTCATATCAATTTTCTCATCCAAACTTTGTTGCACAACATATATAGTGTTATACTAATCGGTAAGGTGGATATTGTTGGTAAGCAAGTGGTACATCAACTCATATCGCACTCATTCATCTAGTGCAACATTATTGATGATTTGCTTAACATCAAACCATAACCAACTATTTGAAAGGGTATGCCTACTTCTCCTCCATTGTCATCATCAGCTACATTATTGCATCTTCCTCCAAATTATCACGCCTTCATGATCGTCAGTAAATTATCATGCCTTCACTATCAGCTACAAGATTTCTTTCGTCGTTTGGATGAAGCGATAAATCGATTATGCAAGTTGAATGAAACTCCACCCCCATTATATCGAACTATTGTTCCAGAACAACTTGTAGGTCGAGCAGTAGGTCGTTTGCATCTTCACACCGTGTAATGTCTAATTGGTTTATAACCTGGCGATATGGACCATGATATGTGATGACATTTACCCATCTGGTTTATATTCCTAAACCACGGAGGAATATAGGGACTAGAAACCAACACTTGATCATCAATTTCTTCTAATGTCATATCAATTTAATGCAGACCCTATTACACAACATAGATAATGTTATAGTGCTCAGGCGGGTGGATATGATTGGGAAGTCGGTAACGAACCAACTCATCTTGCACTCATTGATCAAGCGCAGCAGCATTTGGGACTTGTTCAAGATCAATATGAGCGACCAACTCGTGCATACCATAACCAACAATTTCAACAGGTACTCCTACTCCTCCCCCATTGCAATCATCACCATTATCGTCCTCATCTTCTTCCATTTCATCATCGGCGTCCCCTTCTAAATCATCACCATCATCTATTAGCACACCTTCATCATCAGGGTCTGCAAGGCCAGCTGTCATTGCCACAACTGCTGCAGCATAAGAGACAAAATGCAAAGGCTTTTCAACATTGTTGCTAGATTTTGACTTGACATCTTCATCTCTATGCACTAACTAAGACATAATTAAGTTTAATTGCCTGAAACATACAGAAAATGACAACTTAATAGGAATGAGCATTACTCATAAAACAATCAGACCATAACCAACTATTTGAATGAGTGCTCCTACTCGTCCCCCGTTGTCATCATCATCGACATTATTCCTTTATTTCATCATCGACATCTCCTTCCAAATCATCATCATTGTTTATCACACCTTTATTTGCATCTTCACACTATGTAATATCTCAATGGTTTATAACCTAGTACTCACTGGTTTTTTGTGCATGAAATAGGATGACATATACCAATCTAGGGTTAAGTGTGGGGCTGGTTTCTTATCTCTTAACTTTTACGTATAATTGTAGCCAACCCCACACTTAACCCTAGATTGGTATATGTCATCCTGTTTCATGCACAAAAACCAGTGGGTACTAGGTCATAAACCATTGAGATATTACATAGTGTGAAAATGCAAATAAAGGTGTGATAATCAATGATGATGATTTGGAAGGAAATGGCGATGATGAAATAGAGGAAAATAAATGAATAATGTCGATGATGATGACGACGGGGGACAAGTAGGAGCACTCATTCAAATAGTTGGTTATGGTATGATTGTTTTCTAAGTAATGCTCATTCCTATTAAGTTGTTATTTTCTGTATCTTTCAGGCAATTGAACTTAATTCTATCTAAGTTGGTGCATAGAGATGAGGATGTCAAGTCAAAAT